TCGACGAACTCGACCAGCATGCGCGCGTTCATGTTGCGGGCCTTCGCCTCGGCGGTATAGGCGTCCGGGGTGGCGTCGATGTTGAGCGGGTTGTTCTTGCCCTTGCCGGCGGACACGATCGTGTGGCCCATCGCGGAGACGAACTCGATCAGCTCCATGCAGGAGGAGGGCTCGTCGCCCGCGCCGAGGGAATAGACGACGCCAAGGCGCTCTGCCTCCGCCTTCAGGAAGGCGCCGATGGTGACGTCGGCCTCGACGTTCATCATCACCAGATGCTTGCCGCGCTCCATGGCGGCAAGGCCCAGTTCCGCGCCGACGGAGGGGACGCCGGTCGCATCGATGACAACGTCGATCAGCCCGCTTTCGAAGATCTGCGCCGCATCGGAGGCAATGGCCGTGCGGCCGCGCTCTATCAGTGCGTTGAGGTCGTCGGTCGACTTGCAGTCGGCCGAGTGTCCCGCCTCGCCATGGGCGATCTCGACCGCCCTGTGTGCGGCTTGCGGGGTCAGGTCGGCGATGGCGGCCACGTCGATGCCGTCCATGAGCGCGGCGCGCGTGACGATGTCGGTGCCCATCTCGCCGCAGCCGATCAGGCCGATACGGACCGGCTTTCCCGCGTCCTGGCGCTGCCTGAGATCCCGCGCCAGACCGGTCGGCGCAACATTGCTTGTCATAACGCATGCCCTCGAAACTGTGATGGCCCGTTTAAACAGAACTTTCGTTCAATGGTCAACATATATGTTCAGATAGGGATTCAATCATGCGAATATTGGTGCGTTGCAGCAATTTTGTATCTCCAGAAATCTCGTTTCCCGGCTCTGTGCAGTCTTGACAGGGGAATAGGAATGAACATTAGTGTTGTCGTAATCTCATATGTTCATATGGGTGTGGCTGATCTTGCCACGAGGAGGAGCATCGTCGACAGTCGGCCAACCGGACATGATTCAGGATCGGCCGCGGGAATTCCAATGGGAGGAAAGACAAGTGATGCAACAGACACTGATCTCACGCCGGTCGCTTTTGAAGTCCGGTGCCGCCGCCGGGGCGATGGGAATGTCGCTGGGCGGTGTTGCCCTGCCGGCCTTCGCGCAGTCCGATCTGCCCGATCCCGCAAAGGTCCTCGCCGACATTTCCGTGCCCAAATACGTGCGCGCGGACTATCGCGAGCTCTACAAGATGGGCGATGCGCCGCTCTGGGATCCGGCGATCGACTGGATCCGGACCGTCGACTGGGAGGCGGTACGCAAGGAACTGGCCGGCACGACGGTCCGTTTCGCGATTGGCGCTGCCGATCAGGAATCCGCCGCCGAGGGGCTTGTTCCCTTCGAGCTGTTGTCCGGCATCAAGGTTGAACTGGTGCCCATCCCCGACGACAGCTTCTACGACAAGG